ATGAATTGTAATAACTTTGGTAATTCCTTCAATGTTCTTTTAGTTCCATTATGAGGTTTTAATGTTTCTTTAACCGTGGTTTATAACCAGATACCTGCAGAACTAATGACATTCCCAAAAGCCTCAGCTTTTCAAGAGACAGTGCTATCCACTAATATTATACTGTGTGTAGTAATGTTTTTACTAATTTGCCTTGTCAGTTACGTTTTGGCTACATTCTTTTACTGCATGGGAGCCATAGGTAGGTGGTTGGGGTTCCTAAATATATCCTTATTAAATCATGCTTTAGTTATGAGCGTATATTGTACAGCAATGATCTGGAAATTAAATGAAATGTGTTGTCAGTGAGCGTTTTGTAGATATGTTCACTAGGAACATTTTGCATCTCAGCAAACACATTAATTAAAAACATTTCCTCTTTATGTTGATTAAAAAATATAACAGCATTATGTTGTTCTCAAAATATTTTTGCTGTTGCAAATTAGTAGAGCGCAATTTTTAGCATTTAGAATGTTAATTGATGCTGATGTATTATGTTTTGCATGTTCACCATCTTTGTTCAGTGTGTTAGCCTGCTAACATTTGCTAATTAGCACTAAACACAACCCACAGGTGAGGCTGAAGGGAATGTCAGTTTTGAGTATTAGACAAATAAAAGTTTTTTCATTATGATGGCACTGGGTAAAAGTTAAGGGGTCACCAAAGGATAATTTCCCTGAGGGGAACATGAATGGCCATAAAAAAATTGATGGCAATCCATTCAGCAGTTGTTGAGACAAGTCAATGAGAAGAATTCATCCTCTGCGAGACTAATGTCTGTAAAAAAAACTTCATGGCAATCCATCCAATAATTAGACCAAAGTGGTGGACTGACCGACCAGCAGATTGATATTTCCTTGACTAGAGCTACATTGCTACATGGCAAAAATGTGATATACTGCAGTTGGTTTCGAGCCATGGCTGTGCAAATGAATGAATGAGTGTGACCCACCTGGACAAAGTGGAACACCGTGTTATTTTTGAATATGAAGTTCTACCTTCTTGACACACTTCAGGAATAGCATGGCCCATTTACTGACCACCTCTTGTCTAATACGCCCAGCACTAACTTTGTATTTGGCTCCATTGTCTGTGTCTTTTCATGTCACATATGCAGACCCAAGTTGCTCCTATGGGAAGAAACCACCTCACTTATTCCTCTTGATTCCTGCTGTTACATAGATACAGTTTGAGGATTGAGGGATTTAAGTGCCCTTTTACTTGGATGGCTGGGCACAGGCTCACTTTGTATATTCGTGTTCTTCCATCTGCAGAACAAAACCTGAACCAGATGTACAAGAGAGCTTTGATATTCCCTGTCTGTGGCAATCTGCCAGTTGATTGATTCTCATTAAAGATGAAAGGGGAAAAGCACAATAAACAAATCCCACTAAATGTCTGGGTATATACACACATACTGTACACACAATACCTTTAGTCTTTTTTATGTGTGCATTTCTTTGTGTGTCAGTCCACCCACGAGCATTTGATGGGGATACAGGGAGCCATGACCAAAGGCATCGAGCATAATTAGCTTTGCAGTATTTGTGTTGGATTTTATCAGGGGGACATTTAATTCAATTTATGAGGGCATGTCTACTGTAGGTAACTTGACCCACCAAACCACCCACACAGTGAGAGATGACATTTTCTTTTTTATCTGACTGTTTGATGAAACTTCATTCTCACGGGTGTTCTTACTGGAGGATGTGGCCAGTCAAAGCTCAACCAAAGGATTTAATTCACATGTAATAAAACATTTTCATTTTGGTAATATGGACAAAATCTACTTTTTCGATATCCTTTACCATTTGTTATTATAAAGTGATAGTATTTAGTTGGTGATGAGCAGCTTCTACACACAAGATGATTCTGAAAACACCAAACTGCTTTTAATGTGGATATGATGATCAACAAATGTTATTGAGCTAAAACAATCAAATAAGCTCAGAAAAATGTAACACAGCCTTGAACGCCATAAAAAGACAACATTGAAGCTACATCGTGATATCAGGTCAAGCATCAGAATATATATTGTACTATTTCATTTTGTGTTATTCCAAACAAAAGAACACTAATCCACAAAATTATATATTTTGAACTATGTTCTGGAGAGACCAGAAATTGTTAGTCCTGCTAGCGGTTTAGCTCGAGGGCTAGCAATGTCGGTCATTGCAACACTTGGGTCCACTATTGAATGGATTACCACCAAATTTTGTACATTCATTCCCTCTCTTTCTGTCTCTCTAGCTCTGGTGAGACCCTGAGCAACGCAACCACAGGCTGGCCCAGTTCACGTTGATGCTGGTGGGCACTCCCCAGTACTCTCCCCACCACCTGCTCCTGAGCCGCTCCCACCTTCCCACCTGCCATGGCTATGAGCAATGACCCGGGCTGTGAGAGGCTGGACCCCGACTCTGACAAACAGACCAGCAGTCTCACAGACACCATGGCTGCCATGACAACTAAAGATTTAGACAGCTCAACTGCCAACGGCGTGAAGAATGGCGGGGCTCAGAGGGACGGGGCTCAGGCCAAGAGGACTCATCCGCCGAGGCCTCATCTGACTGGGAGGAAGTTGTCGCTGCAGGAGAGAGGCACCTACTTGTCATCAGGCTCTGGAGGAGGCTACACGCACATCTCTCCTCGTGTGGCTCGCAGGCCCACTGTGGAGTCGAAACGCGTATCCATATCAGACGCTCAGGTGAGAAAGTAACTTATGCTTATACTACTTATAATTAATAATCATTAAATGAATGAAATGGCCTTAACGGCACAAGGAATGTGCTTGCATTGACAGCAGCAGCAGTCTCATTACGCTGAGATAAATAAGATATCAATGCCGACCCATGGCCACATAGTTCAAAATTGAGACATGTCGAGAATGTAGAGTGCAGAAAAACATTGAATGTTTCACCCAAAACACCTTTGAAAATGTAATTTATCTGCAGTCCTCTGGTTTGGACATTTGCTGATATGAATTTCTGCAGTTGGGTGTGACAGGTGGCACCATAGCAGGGAGTAAACCACAAACAGAGAGAAAGCAGCTCCATTGGGCTCATGAGAGCAGTTGTCATAACTAGTAACTAGCACCGTATAGCTCAATATGTCTGCATTATCACATCTCATATTATAAAGAAAGAGGAGCAGAAGGCCAGTGGACAACATGGCAGGGAGAAGGAAGCGTGAGAAGGTGGGTACGCTAGTCTCCCATCAGCACCCATCGTGGAAACATTCCTCTGTCTATTAGCTGATTTATGTTAAAGGTGGGCTATATGATTCTAATACAATACATGTAATTCAGTGAATATCTCCTCACGGCCCGCTAGCTTATTGTAAGTTATTTGCTGTGTCGTATTTCACTCTATATCATAGTATTTGTCATAGTATTGGATTTCTCCAGAGTTGCATACCCCACCCTTAATGCATCATCGCAGCCTGTATAATACTCCTTGCTCTGCACTGTGAGCCCATGTGTGTCATGTTGGCTTGGATAAGAGCACTTTTGACTGTTTCATCAGACAGACATGAAATGCATTATGTCCAGCACTGTTGGATACACCATAAAAGAAGGTAGCAGTGGGGGTGGAAGCAGCTAATCATTTGCCATGCTAATAATGTGGAGCATTTGTACTTGTTTTCCTGTATGTGCATGTCTGTTTGTATAACCGATGAGAAATTTTATACCACTACTACCGATACTTCACTTTTGTATTTTAAACTCTGAGGTTTAGATTTAGGCCGTTCACAGCACCAATCTTTAACAATAAAGATGAGTTTCATTATTTATATAACATTGAAAATATGGAGCACCTGTTTGTGCTAACCCATGAAAACTAAACGTATCATGTGGCTATGGTAACTCCCAAATCTCCATTTTACTCTGAGTTTTTCCAATTCAGAGTCAACATTAAAAATTCATGACATCTGCCAGGATGTGGAACCCCTCTGAATGTAACAGACTGCTGCCACAGACTCGCAGTCCTGTCATTGTGTCCTTTCCTATCTGAAAATGGAGTTGCAGCTCTCGCACTGAACCATAAAAAGGACTCATGTTGCTATTTCCCTGCTCTCACTGGAGCTACAGAATGACACAGCAGAGAGAAAGAGAAAGAAACATTTCTTGCTTACACAAACATCCGTTATGACTGACATTCAGAGTTTCTTCACTGTTACAGTGCTTACCGCAATAGGAAAATGTATAAGAATGACTTGCATAATGCATGTTTTCATAGTTGGTGTCAGTGTCTGTTATCTCCCTACCCTTATTATAGAAAAAAATAAAAAATGGGGAAGTCCCATACTAAGTCACATGAGTGTGTGTATAGCTCATATAATGGTCTAACTAAAGAACAGAAGCTTCTTATTCTTTTTCTTTTCTTTGTGTGTTGCAGGAAACTCATCTTTGGTCCTCTTTTCTGACTTTCTCATCACATCTGTTTTTGTCTTTAATTCTATTTTGTACATATAATGTGTATAATTTTCTCTTCCCTTTGGAAGTAGGAGGATTTTGAGAACACATTCACTTTTCTGTTTTGTGGGTTAAAAGGATTAGGTAGAAACCTTCCCAGAAATACCGGGTTAAACATTTGCCTTCCTACTTGGAAGCATAATAATTTGTGTCAAAACAGGATATCAAGTCAAGTTTATTTATATATAACCATTAATCACAGGGGTGTGTACCCACATTATGGGATAATAAAAGACAATGAGGAACAAAAAAAAAAGAAACCTTTTAATGAGAACAAGGAAAATATTCTATAATTCTTTTTTAAAGGATGGGTACACATTCTTCAAGTATTTTTTAATACAAATACTGAAAGAATTGTTGCTGTAATTGTTAATCCTCTCTATACCAGCCTTTCAGTTTCAATGGAAATAACAGGACAAAATCCACAGTCCTATGAGTGAAAAATTAGTTCCAAAGCTAAAATAAGGCTTCAACAGTCTTTTTAGTACCAAATTTCATATTCCATACTCCCACACCACAGCTCAGCAAGGAAACACCATCTTTGGAAGCACAAACTTTTGGTACTTTTGGTAAAGACTGAAAGTTTGGGAGATATCTACTTCATTGAACTCAGACTGCTGATTCATATTGGCTTTGGATAAACTTTAAAGTACATGTTTGCACAGAAATAAGACTGCGGATATAGTCCCCCATCACTTTACATCATTAGTTCTTTTTCTGGCATGCCTCAAAAGGTTCACACCCCAATTTTTAGCAATCATTAAATCATTAGGGGTACCAAGCTAATAAAAAAGGATCCAAGTTGAATTTTAGTGTGATAAAGGTCAGCACAAAAACATCAGCAAACTCGTTTCTTTTGCCTACATATGTCATATTCATTCAACTTTGTTCTGCTCCATATTTTTCCCCCTATCATCCACGCCTCACAGGCAGTGGCTTTTGATTTGATTTAAGGCCACACTTGCAACATGTAACATCTTTGCTCTGACACTACAATAGATTCAGATGAAAGAGACGGATAAACCAGTGTGTTAACTGTGTGAACTGTGAGTGTTTTGCATTTATGAGTTTCTTTTGGAAATGACTTGTGAAAAGTTCATACAGTCTTATACATTGTATCTATTATTATGTTTGAGTAACTGTTTATTAAAAGGAAGTTTTTCCTTGCCGCCATCCCCAAGTGCTTGCTCATGGTGGGAACTGTTAGGTAAATAATTTTATCAAGAGTACTGTGTAGACCTGCCCTATTTGTCCTGAGATAACTTTTGTTATGAATTGGCGCTATACAAATAAAAGGGAATTGAATTAAAATTAGCAGCATAAGAAATTGAATAATTATTAACTTTGGCAGTCCGTTGAGCAAAGATGAATGTTACTGTCAACTTGTCTTCACAGCACATTAGTACCGTAAATGATGTACTTATCTAGATCATTATCCAGTACTGTTGATACTGGACACACATACAGAACTGAATCTGTGTGTGTTCATTTATTATCAAAAAAAATGTTCTTTCCTGTTTTAGTTGATCCCTCCGTCCTTGTATCTAGTCCATTCTGCACCTTTTGTTAAATTTTTCCATACAACAACAAAATAAACATCTTCTGCAGTGGCCTCATTTTGTGACAGCCCTTACACCCTTCTATTAAAATTCATTTTTGAAATGACAGTTTGAGGAAATTACTTTACACTCGCAGGCTTTAAATACTTTCAAACACAAGTTCCCCTTTATTACATACTTCCTGAGGCAGGCATTAGTCATCAAAAGAATGAAATGAGTGGTCATTGATTTTAAATGGAACAGTGGCAGTGATCTATTTGTTATGCACTGATATTGATCAGTTTTTGACTAATGGATGGAGAGATGTGGAGGGTTTGGTACAGATCAGACACAATAGAGGACAAAGTGAGATGTGAAGGGAAGCTGTGTGAGGAGAGACGGGTGTGTTACATACTGAAAGAAGATGGCAGGACTGTGCTGTTAATGTAAAGTCGCAGTCTAACGTGACAGTATGACCGAAAGAGCCCTCTAGAGATTTATTGTGGCCCAGTGAAGCATTTGAGTTTGCTTCATGCGTGCATGTGCATGTGTGGCAGATGTATTTAAGGCTTTCTGCATGGCCCTCCTTTATCCATTAGTCCTGACAGAGTATTAACTGCAGTGCAGCGCCCACTGAGCATGTGCCGACAAACTGTGCAAACCCAGTGGAAGTCCTCTCAGACAATCCCTCCCGCTGCTCGTTTCTTTGGATTCTCCTCATTTGCCTTTCCTTTTATCCTCCACCGCCCTATTTTCTTCTCTTTATCTCTCTTCCACCAATCAAAGCAATCCTTTTTTCCAAGTCCCACTGCTTGCTTCACCTACAAAAGCCCCCCATCTTCTATTCTATCTCTCACCCTTTGTCATAATCCCTGCCTACAGTACTTCACACTGTCATATCCTACAGTGCATAACCCTCCAATGCACAATCCTCGCATCTTTTGCAGCACTAACAGCAATGTTCAGTGCGAGCTACATAACCAGCATGTTATGTAACCCACTATACAATGTCGTATTTTACTAAAATACCTTGCCTGGTGGCGAGAAGTCCTGCCCTCCAACATGAGTTGGTGCAGTACTTTCTGTTGTGTTCCATCTGTGTTCTCCTACCTCCTCTCATCCTGTAAACACGTTCCAGTATCAAGCCTCAGGCACTGGTCCGGCTCACACACTCACACACACACGCTAAGCCATCCCCCCCCCCCAACTGTAATGAGAGAACTGCTTTCAATCCATTTTCTCCATCTCCTTCTTTTTCACACTTACATCACGGCTCACTTTCTGCTCACCGACTTTGCTCTCTGTGCACCCCCCACAGCCCACCCCCGTGAAATACTCCCCACCATCA